GGAAGGAGGGGCCAGCTCCTTCTTCAAAGAGTCAGGGTCCCCAGTGGTTCCGAGGAGGCGGCGCCCGAGCGAGCTGCTGGAGCGAGCACACACAGGAGGGGAGGAGAGCGAGAAGAGGGAGAAAAGAGTTGGGGAGGGGCCGGGGGTGCTGGGGGGCGGGGGTGTCGGTAAAAAGGGAAGGACTTGACCCTTCAACCAGAAGCTGAGCCCGCCCACTTCCTACATAAACCCAGGGTCTCTGAGAAGTGCCCTAAGTGGATCAAAATGACCAAAGGACAATGGCCCCTGCCCACAGCCACCTCCACGCCCACCCCGGGGGCAGGCGCCCCGTGGCCTTGGGCGAAGACCTATGGGGTCAGCTGAGGACCAGGAGGGGGGCCGACGTGAACCTCCAGAGGGTGTCAGGGAGAGGCTGGCTCCCCCCACCCCCGAGGCCCTGCGCTGCCCCAGCCTCCATCTGAGAGGGGGGAGGGGGATAGTCAGCTCTGGCCTTCTAGACAATCCCTTCCCTATGGCCCCTCTCTACCCCCACCCCCAAGACCAGGGAGAAACAAACGGGCAGGGGGAAAGAGCCTTCTTTTAACTCTCCTTTTGCCAGTCTCTTAGGAAAACCCAGCTCTGGGCTCCTGAACGCACCCCCCCTAACCCCCAACCTCAGCCCACTCCTCCCTTTCCAAAGAGAGCCAGGCTCGAGGCAGCAAGGCCCAGAGGCTGGAGCTACAAACCCCGCCTGAGTGCACACCTCCCCCATCTGTTTATTTAAAAAGCCTCTCTAGTGTCTTGAGGCTTTTACTCACTCCCCCTCAGAAGCCCCACCAGTCTGGCTGGGCTGGAGTCCAGCAAGCTCTGGGTTCAGGGCCAGGCAGTGGGTGTGAAAGTGAGAGTAGGAGCCTGACCCCGCCACCTCCACTCCCAGGGCCTTTCCCCAAGGCTCCAGGCTTAGCCCTGGGTCGGGCCCAGAGGGCGGAGGCCTTGACAGGGGATTGAGCCTGCAGCCAGCCCCAGCTCCCAGGGGGACCTTCTGAGAGGGTTTTGGGCCATAAATCCTGATTCCATTTCTGTTTTTAAAATCTAGATTTAGGTTTAAAATTCTGCTTCCTGGCCTTAGGGCTCAAGGCCGCAGGGGCTAAATATACCTGCCTCTGTTTACTTCTCTCCAGAGCCTGACTTGGCATCACCCCAGACCCAGCCACCTCTCACACTCACTTCTGGCCTCTCTGAAATGACAGCTTGCCAGACTGGCCACCCCTGCACTGCCCTCTCCCTCTGACCCTTCACCAACCACAGGCCTGGCCCCACTCTGCTGGATTTAGGAAATGAAACTACAGGGCACCCAGTGAAATTTGAGTTTCATATTAATCAACAAATACTTTCTAGTATAGCATGACCCATGCAACATTTGGGACCTGTTTATATGGAGATATTATTTGTTGTTCCTCTGAAATTAAAATTTCACTGGACATCTTATATTTTGTATTCACCAAATCTGGGACACTAATTCAGACCATTAAGAGAAGCGCAGCCTCTAGACCAGTGGTTCTCAACCTGCGGGTCTCGCCCCCTTGGGGGGTCGAATGACCCTTTCACAGGGGTCACCTGATTCATAACAGTAACAAAATTACAGTTATGAAGTAGCAACGAAAATAATTTTATGGTTGGGGGGGGTCACCACAACATGAACTGTATTAAAGGGCCATGGCATTAGGAAGGCTGAGAACCGCTGCTCTGGACCTATTTGGTAAAAAAAGAACCTAAGCTGTATCTAAAGCCAGACAGGGTGACTGCAGTAGAAAGGGCCTGGACTTGGGTACCAGGTCGGGTAAGAAATGTGGCTTTGCAGGCAGTCCCACACTGGGGGCCCTGGGCATGTGCATTCTCAGCTCTCTCATCTGCCGGATGTAAATAA